AATTTATTCTTAGCTATATTTTATTCAAACACATCTTCCATGAAAAATTCTAAGACCTGGGGGCCTGAATGATACTGTTTTCTTTAGAATACCTCTAATGGAGAAACTTCCATTATTGTGCAGAATATCTTTTTTGATCAGGGTTATATTTGTTTTAATATTAATCTTAGAGGGCATTTACTTTCTCGGCAGCTTCTCAAAAGACCAGCCTATCATACCTACCACAGCTGTAGTATTTCAAAAGTACTTACTTATTCTCAAAGTTCATAATTTGAATTCTCAAGTTCCATAAATGATTACCTGTAATGTGTTAAGTAAGTGGTGGATAAGCTGAGACACTTTGCTGACAAGATGATTCTGATTAAGAGGCACCACTCGGCAAGCCTGGACAAGAAGAGTACTGACATCCTACCAAAAAACAACAACAACAAAAGACAATGAAAGGTGATATACCTATTAGTCAAGTGAAGCCTCCCAACCCCACAAAACAAAGGCAAATGGGAAAATAAAAGTGAATGTTTACACTCAAAATGGGGGACAATGAAATTTGAGGCAGGAAGTAGGGAATGGCAGCACAAAAATAGAATGTGCTATAAAAGGAAAAGAATTAATATGGTTTTTGGTAGGCTATAGATTCCAGTCTCTATAAATGTAGAGGCAATATAATTAAATAACCAAAGAAAGGCTTCCATAATATAAAAGCACACTCTGAAGTAAAAAATAACAAAAAATAGCAAGTCTGATTTTCATTGCCAGTGGGAAAATCAGAAATGAGCTTGTAAGAATTTGTAAAATTAGGGAATTCTTAAAAAAAAAAACAAAAAACAAAAAGCACTATTCATTCATTCATTGATATTTATTGAATAAAAAGGCTCGGAGCACCTGCTGTGTGCTTGGCAGTATGCTAGGTCTCTGTGCTCCAAAGGTAAACATACATCTCTGAATCCTAAAAAGCTCATGAGGGAGATGAAATACTCACAAGTACTTAAAGTGAACTAAGTGCTCAAAGAATTAAGTACAAACTCTGGGGAAATGGTAATTAGGGAGGTCTTGTGGAAGTGGTTTTTAAGCAGAATCTGGAATGATTCAAAAAATGAGTAAAAATCTGCAGACAGACAAGTCTTGAAAGACATTGCAAGCTAAGAGAATGGAGGGCAAAAATTTGGAATCCTAGTGGGAGTGAAATACCAACAGTGCTTGATGAACAATGAGTTGTAAATGACTGCACATGGCACAGCAGGAGGAGTTACAGAACAGGAAACTGGAAAGGCACGTACTTTTGGTAAAAAAATTATCAAATTATACAATTAAAACAAAAGTCTCTAACTATTCCCTTAATTCCACTCCGCTCCCCAGTAACCCAAATGATTATTTTGTTGAGAACTCTTTGTATCTATAAATGTACATAAATTTTAAAACCTCCCCACCCTATATTGATCTTGCACTGTATGAATTGTTCTGTAACTTGCTCTGACCATTTAGCAATATGTATCAAAAAGCTTCCCTAATGAAAGTTTTACTTCTCTAATCAGATTTTTTCCCACTAAAGAAAAGATCATTCTATCAGCAAAGCAAAAAATGGTTTGGAGAAGGACTGGATTGGAGGCAAGAGAGAAGTTAGAGGAGAGAAGAGTAATAGTCCAAGAAAGAGTTACCTGGCCTGAAGGCCTACTGCATTGGCATTAGGGACAGAGAGGGAATGGACAAAGGAGTATTTATGGAATAGGTTGTAAAGAATCCAGATTAGATAGGATCTGGAAGGAAGGAAAGAGGAAGAACCTGTTTGTGCCTCTGTGACTTGGCAGATTGTGCATGTTTATGTGTAGGGGAACAGGACGGGTTGGGGATGGTATGCGTATAGAGATAACTTACTCATTTTTTTAAAATCCTCACCTCAGGATATTTTTCCATTGCTTTTTAGATAGAGTGGAAGGGAGGGAGGAAGGGAGGAAGAGAGGAAAGGGAGGGAGAGAGACATGAATGTGAGAGAGACACAACAATTGGTTGCCTACTGCACCACCCTCACTAGGGCGGAGATCTAACCTGCAACCCAGGTATGTGCCCTTGACCTAGAATTGAACCCGTGACCCTTCAGTCTGAGGTCCTAGGCTCTAACCGCTGAGCCAAACCGCCAGGCCATATTCATTTTTAGAACTGTCAAGTTTGCGGTGCCTGTGAGCACCAGAAGGCAGTGGTATGAGTGGGTCAAGAGTTCAGGAAATTCAGTAGTAGCATCCAAGATCTGGTGTGTGTGAATACTACTACTCAAAGTACTTCTAAAGAGGAGGCAGAGAGGGCATGAAGGAATAGAAAAAGGCAGGGACTTTGTGACAGGCTAGGTTCCCATTCTAGCTCTGCCTTGGCCAGCAATATGACACTGGATTTTTATGAGCCTCAGTGTTTTTATCAGTAAAATAGACCTACTAATACCCACGCTCTGAAGTTCCCGGAACAGTACACGGGAAAGCACACAGGAGTGGTCCCTGCACCATGCACTCAGTAAACAGTAGTAATGAACTTTATATACAAAGTATTCTGGATGCAGAGAGTGGAGCGGGAAGGGGTGGGGGCGGGCGAGAAGGTGAAACGAGATGACGCCCGCGTTGGTATCGGAGCAGAAGTCATCAAGCTGGGTTTTGAAAGAATCGGGTTTGTAAAGCACTGCAGGGTCTTCCACAGAGGACAGAGGAGGTGCCACGGTCGGAAGGGGCAAACAGCCCGGAGTTAAGTGGTGCGGGATGGGGGTGAGAAAAGCACGGAGAGGAAGGCGAGACGACCAGCTAGGACCTCCGAGGGATGGGGCCGGGGCCAGCAGAGGCTTCTGGGGTGTCCTCCCCCCTCCCCGCCCCTACCTCCGGGGCCAAGCCGCAGCCCTCTCTGTAGTTCTCGGAGATGAGCTGGTCCAGGACCAGGTGGATCTCGGTGCGGGAGGCACTGCTGTCATCCGGGCGCAGGGCGCAGAGCCTGGCCCACAGGCGGCGGAAGCCCGCGCCCTGCTCTCGGGGCGGCTCCCGCGGCGCCTCCCGCGGCGGCCCACCCAGCACGGAGCAGGCGACTTGCACGGTCGCCATGTTTCCTAAGGAGAACAGGGGGAAGTGCTTCCGGGGCATCCCTGACCCCGCGCTCCAGTTCCGGAAACACTTTTTTTGGACCAGAACCTGACGCGATAGTGGAACCTGGGGAACCACTCCTTAGGCTGCTGCTCTGCAAATAAATACCCGTGGGAAATTAGCTTGGAGACTTTTCCCCGCCCACCCCACCCTGAGCCCTGACTGTCCTCCCAGCAAGGAGTTCCTGGGTAGAGCTGACATTCCTGTTCCGTACAGGAGGTTCAGATTTGGCCTGGAGTTGGAGGGGCCGTTGTGGATGGCAGTGGCAGAAACTAGGTCTACCACATTCCTCTACTTACATCGCATCACAACCCCTGATTTTCACCCCCAGGCACAAAACCACTCCGAATACAGGTTTACACTCCCTAGTATTCCTTGCAGCTGTCTGTGAATCCCCCTGTGGATCTTGAGACACATCATCACTCAAGAAAAGTAATTTGAGAGTTCAAGCTGAACCATGTAAAATATCACCTGGCCAAGGGTGACCTGGGTGAGATTGGATACCCCCAAGACTTCCTGAAACCTTAAACTCAAAAAGCCAGAAAAGAAAATAGCCATTTTAAAGCTGTGAACAGTTTTCAGTTACCCAAGAGGTGAAGCCTTGAAGTTTACAATTGGGCAGACTGGGAAAACCTCTGAGTTATGCACATAGAAAGCAGATTCTCACCCATGGCTCTTAGGGAAAACCTTGAAGTCATGTACATGTATATGTTTTATCCTGAGAATAAAGCACTTCTGTTTAGCAATGGAGATTGAGTGTATGCTCTGGAAGAGCTAATTCTCTGAAAACTTGGGCTTCTTTGGGGAGAAGTATTTATTTTTTTTGTTTGAATTTAGATTTAGTTATACTTGTTACTTTTGTTTATTTTTGGGATGTGTGTATATTATGTATGTATATGCATTTGTGATCTTTAAGCATTTGCTCAAAGATTAGGAGCTGAGACCTAGTTAGTCACTGATGTTTTAGTCTGAGTTCTCATGAAACAGAGCCTCAGATAAGGTTAGTAAGTGAGTGATTTATTCAGGAATGAACATGGAGGAAAGGAGAATCAATACAAATATATGCTGTTAAGTTGGCCATTGCAAAGGATGAGTGATTGCTCGATCCTCAGGACTTTCTGAGAAATCTTTCTGAATGCTCTCAGAACCCACCCCCCAGAAATGGAGGGGGGAACCACATCTGTAAATTTTTTACCTCTATTGTCAAGTGTTGCCCCACCAAACATGAATTCTCCAGTGCTTCTGAGTTGAGCATGCATCAATATGTGATGGTGCCTGCAGGAATCTCTTAATTGTATAGTCAAAGAAGCCCTGAGGCAAAAGTGAGAGGTGTGGAGTACTAGGGTACCAGTTCAAGGCAAGGCTCAGCAAGTTATCTTATGCTAAACTGTTAGATGACTGAGATAAACTGGTTGTTGTAGCAATGATTAAGATAGGAGTGTAAAGCGAAGAGTATTTGAAGCAGTGTATAAGAGATGTCTAATATACTGGGCTAGAAGGATGTGAGACCTGGTTATCACCACAATGGAAGTGGCATGAAAGAGACTGTGGAAAGATTTGGGTTTGGCGTGGCTCATCTTAGGTTGCATGGGATTATAGTTAAGACCCTGATCTTTATATGACTTTGAACAAATCACCTAATTTCTCCAAATGTCAGTGTCCTTGTATGTAAAATGGTAATGATAATAAGCATAGTCATAAGGTTGTAGTAAAGATAAATTGGATGGTACTTGTGGAGAATATAACACAGACCTTATTGTATAGCAAGTGCTAAACAAATGTCATCCATCCTCCACCTCTCCTTCTCCTTCTCCTCATCACCCCTGCCCAAATAACTCAAGTAGTGTGGGTACTTTTAACAATGCTGATTTATTAAAAGAAACAGATTTTTTTTCCCTTCCCCACCACATCCTTTGTAATCTCCATCCACAGGCCCCCATTTTTATCTGTCTTCTTGGTCAAGGAACTCCAAACAGCGACATCTTTTGAAATTAAAACTCCAGGAAGGGATGAGCAATTATTAGAGAAGGATGACTCTTAAGATTAGTCTTCATCTGAGAAATGGACAAAAAATTATGTGTGAGACCTTCTGTTTTGGGGACGTTAATGCACTTATTCAATTGAGAGGCGACAGTTCCCAGTTCTGGAAATCAATAAGCACTTGCAAGAAGCCAGCAAGGCAAAAAACAAACAAACACCCCCCCCCCCAAGGATTGTGGGTAGATTGGACAAATAATAGATTATGAACACAAATGGATTATTTTTAAATTATATGTTGATTCTGTTATATTTAATACAACTTAACTAATTAAAATTTTTTTCAAGGGGGAATGGTGAAAGGGAGGAAGGGGGAAAAGGAAGGGGAAGGGGTGGGGGGAAAAAGTAAATGAAATCAACAGAAGGCGCTGCCCACAGCTGGCAGAAGGCTAGAGAGGGAGGGAAGGAAAATAAGTGCCGGTTTCCTGGGCTCTGCCCTCATGGACTGATTCAACTTAATTTATAATCAAAACTGAATCACAGTAGCTTTTAATTATGCTTCTTTTTTCATTTAATGGCTACTGAAAATAGAAAAACTATCATGTGAGGACCCTGAAATATTTTTAGAGGAAAGGGATTTTCATAGGTCAATATGGCAATGTGCATTAAAAGCTTAAAATGAGCATATTCCTTGGTCATTAATTATAATTTTTATAATTTATCTCAACAAAAATTAATAAGGGCATATACACCAATTTAATATTCACTACAGCTATATTAATAGTTTAAAAATAATAAACATTGAATTTATTAATTTATTAATGGAGGTTGCTAAGTTTATGAGCATGTATGATGGACTTCTATAAGGCTATTAAAGTTGATGGTATAGAAGCATCAGTGTTAATATGAAAAGTTGTTCACTATTTCTAAGTGAAATAATCAAGAAATCAAAAGATTATCTTATTTTTATATACATATTATATATTTGTGTGTATTAATAGTCACCAAAGTGTTAAGCAGGAGCCTTTTGGGGATTATGGGTGATTGTTATCTTCTTTTTGATCAAACAGTCTGATTTTTCTCCAGGATAAACTGGGCAATTAAATCAAAGATTTGGAAACCACTATCCTGTGATAAATGCTTCCTTTGCGGGGGAAGTGTGAGTGAAGGAGGGAGGGACCACAAAGAAACAGACTTCTGTCCCAGCCATTTCCAGAAAGAACCATCAGGGCCAAGTGTACCACCTGCCTGGCTTGGACAAGGTTCCAGGCAGCAAGAAAGGACATAATGTTTTTACCTGTCCTTAGCCTGCCATACAGATGTGGCCACACCCATTGCTGATGCAGGACTCTCCTAGATCACAGTCCCAGTCACTGGTGCAGAGGTCAATACAGGTGCCTACAGGAGAACAGAACAGCTGAATACCATCATGCTTTAGGCACAGGTGCTGGAGAGAACAGCCCTTGTTTAAGGATCCAGTTTCACTTTCTCCTTTTAGTCTAATATATATATAATGCAACTCAAATGATTATTTGCAGAATAATATTTACTAACATCTTATATATTTTAGTTAAAAACAATACATGTACACAATCCCAATAAAGCAAGGACTACTTTAAAGATGTGTAAGAAGGGGACCTGGTGGAACGTCTACAATGTACTTGCAGACCTCAGAGAAAATCAGTACCATCCCTCCATGTTTCTATCAGCTGTTGTTGATCTATGGGGAGAAGGTTAAAGACTTCTTGTCCCCCCTCATGGCAGTTCGGTCACTGATTAGATCTGTTGATTTCATACTATGTAGAAAGCACAGGGGTAAGTTATTCAGGAAATGCAAAGATGTAAGATAGGGTCATTATCTGTAAGCAGCTTAGAGTCTAACAATAGAAATAAGACATGTTTGAAATGCAAAAACCAAAGCACTTTATGACAAGTGTCCTGAGAGAGATATATCCAAAGGACTAAAGGGGTTCAGAAGAGAGAAGACTTTACTTCTAATTAGATTAACCAGAAAAGGTGAGTCTTGAAGTACAGGAATTTTTTTAAAGGCAGAATTGGGTGGGGAGGGGCAGTAGAGTGTTGTGAGAAAAGAATTACTAGCAAAAGTTCACAAAGGGAAAATGCAACAAGGCTTGGACTAGGGAGAAGCTTGTTTATTTACAAAGGTTATTCTGGTATCAGAGCACAGAGTGAACCAGGATTCAACAAGCAATTAAACTTTAGGAGGAAGAGGGGGCAGGGAGAGCTGCAGATAACTTATTGCAGTGGCTCAAGCATGGGGTAATCAGGGCTGGAAATACAGTGTGGCAATGGGAGGTAGAAAGGAGGGAACATATGCAAGAGACAGTTTCAAAGAATGGATGAAATTTGGCAACCAGCTGAATGGAGTCGGGGGAAGAGCAAAGAAGAAAGGGGTAAGAGTTGAATCATTGTTTTTAGGGAGAAGAAAGAGATACAGTGAAAATAATCTAGGAGAGAAGAAAGTTTGAGGGTTGATGGAGTGGCAGAAAAATGTCAGATGCTGCAGAGGTTAAAGACTTTGGCTACTGAGAAGAGTCAAGAGACTTGTCAACAGGATCCAGGAGAGATGTTTCAGCAGAGAGATGGGGGCAACAATGGAGACTATAGTCAGTCCTCAAGGGGTTAAGGGATTAAGCAGGGGAAATAAGAGCAGAGAATTAAGATTACTTCTTTGAAAATGTCGATGGTAAAAGGAAAAGAAGAGATTAAGGTGATTAATGTATAACATACTTAAGAAAAATATTTTCTCTAGACAATCCAATTTATTTGTAGCAAGAGACTGGTAGAAAGACAGATGCTTGGGAGATGGAGGATAGCTAATGAAGGGGCAGAAGAGGAGGGGTGGAGGAGAGTCCAGATGGAGGGGTGACCCAGGGAAACAAAGGGAAGAAATTGGATGTAGAAGAAGAGAGATTCTGAAGTCAAGGTGGGTCCCTGCAATAACTCCTCAACTAGAATATTTGTCCTTCTCTCATTTCTACTCCCCTCCCACCTCCTGCACTTGCTGGGCTATGATATCCTACTTTCTGGCTCCCTGATTCAAGAACAGCGGCATTCTGCCTGGACTCACCCAACAGTTTCAGTGGTATCACCGAAGCCTGAAGCTCCTGTACCTCTAGGCTGAGGGTGATGATGGTCACAAGCAGGAGGAAGCCTACCAACTTCATGGTGCTGTTGGAAGTCTTTGGTAAAAATGCAGCAGCAGGGCTGAGAACAGCTGAAATTTGTGTCCTTCCACCCACTGAACAGAAATGCAAGGCGAGGGGTGGGGCTAGGGACTCTGGGAGTCCTGCCCAGAAACTTGTTTTCCTTCAGAACACACATCATAATTGAACTTAATTCTCCAGTCCTCATTTCTTTTGGTGGTAGATCCTTTAATCTGGCCACAAGGTAAACATAAGTGCTTCCTCATGCAGTTGAGAATGTTCCATCTGCCACCCTTCTTCCTTTTCTCCTTCGCCCATTCTTCCCACGGTCCCTCCGCATGCTGGAGGGCTGGTGTGATTAGGCTGTGGAGGGCACAGGAATCTCGCTTCTTGTTGAAGGAATCTTGACCTCTGCTAGCATCTGCTGCTGTATCTCAGCCCTCTGGTCACTGGGCATCACCTCTCTGGTTTGTCACTTGTCCTCCCATGGCCTCCCATGGCAGTATTCCTTTTGTCTCTCTCTAAGCAACTCTGTGCCCACCAGGCCTGAAGCTTCTTGGAAAGACTGGCAGTCTTCTTGGGCCACGTCTCCCTTCTATTCCCTACACCTACAGTCTCCCCCTCTTCCCAGGCAGGGTTGGGACCCAATTAGGATCATTCTCGAATGTCTAACTCTTTCTCCCACCAGTGTTCATCTTAATTTTTCTTCCAGTATGTGGGAAACTAGCTCTTCAAATCATCATGAATTTGAACAAAACATCTATCATTTATGGTATCAACCCCCGCCCCAGTATCCTTTGGGGCTTGGCCTTACAGACACCGTCTGTTCCCCAACTCAAATCCTTTTCTCTCAAAAAGCGCATATCTTCAAATGGAAAGCCTGTGCTTTTAGTACAGTTTTATCAATTAGAGATATAATTTAAGAAAAACCCACTGAGGAACTGAATTGATTTGTTCCCCTAAGCCACGTCCACCCTCCCCTGAGGGCAGTGAGTCTCGGTTATAATCAATTGCTTGCAACATGGTATGGTAGTAAGTATAAGAAATTGGGGTAAGAGAGAAGACACCTCAGACATTTTTTCAAAATACCATCTGTTACACGTGTACAGTAACATAGAATGGCAAACAGGCCCACCTGCGTTGAGGAGACTTCCTTGGCCAGATCCGTGCCATCTGATTTTTACAATTCCATTATCTATGACCTAAGGTTCATGCTTTGTAACACAATGTCTTAGTGTTTATCCTCAGCTTTTCAAGAACCAGGACAACAAGGCAACCTGAATGAGGTCTGGGACCGGTGAGCTGAGCATGTGGTTAGGTGCTTGAAGGATCTGACAGGGATAGGAAATGACTCTTGGGAATGTGAAATTACAGGAAAAATGGAATTCTAGCAAATTGAGGAGCCCAAACACAGAAGCTGCTGTGCCCTCAAAGTCTCACATGCTAGCCTGCAAAAAGAAATAAAACTTGATGGCTACCTGTGTAAAGGGTGGGTTTTGCAGGCTGAGGACATGTAGGGATTCTCAATGTCTAGATTCAATCTTCTTCCTCTGCTCTGGCCGGTGTCTGAGCTTCAGTGCAGGAGAAACGGGGTTAGTAGAGCCTGACGGTGCATGAGGAAGGGCTGTCACCAGCTCTGCTGCCCCGTCCGCGATGCAGGTAAGACCAGGAGCCCTGTCATTCCCCTGCCCCGGTGTGCCCAGGGTTAGCCCTGCCTGGCCTTTCCAAATCTCTGTTGCTGCTCAGAAATGGGACAGAAACCCCTCAGTGTTCTTGGGGCCTCTGCCTCCACTCTGGCCCTTACAGAGGAAAAACAGGTCACAGGGCCCTGTGCCCAGTGTCTCATTAATAAGGGCTCCTTGAAAAGACCTTTCATCATCCCCTCACTTTTAAAAAAAATAGGTGTTTTTATTGATTTTTTTGAAGAGAGAGAGAGAAACATCGACATGAGAAAGATACGTCCATCAGCTGCCTCCTGCGTGCCCTGGGGATGGAGCCTGCATCCTGGGTGTGTTCCCTGAACAGGAATTGAACCAGAGCCTGTCAGTCTATGGGACAACGCTCAGTTCCCTGAGCCACACCCACCAGACCCCTCCCTACTTGTTTTTCAACAAGAAATACTCATTATATAAAAATCAGAAACTACTGATGAGCCTATGTAGGTATATATACATTATGATTATAATATGATCATTATATATGATATCCTTTATATATATTCATCAACATTTTTTACTGCCCAGAAAAAAATTCACATTTCAACATCTCATTTATTATTTATATATTTATATAAGTATGAATACTATGTATTATTATATTTTTAACTAAAAAAGCCATCTCCTAAATAATTTTTAGTAACTTAAGTTTTGTTGTGAGCATTTTTCACCATCAACTTATTTAATATATCTAATTATTAAATTTATTCAATTTTTATCTATATAGAATATACCACATCACCTCAGTAAATCACCTTCTAGTAGACATTTAAGGTGGAGTTTTGTTTTATTTCATTTATTTATTTTAATGAAACTTTTTTCTTTATTGATGTCAGAGAAAAGAAGGGAGAGATAGAAACATCGATGAGAGAGAACATCGATTGGTCACCTCCTGCATGCCCCCCACTGGGGATCAGGCTCACAACCTGGGCATGTGCCCTGCCTGGGAATCAAACTGGTGACCTCTTGGTGCATGGGTGCATGGGGCAACACTCAACCACATCAGCCAGGCCTTATTTCATTTATTGTTACTCTCCTTGAAAGGGTTAATAATGTTTCAACAAAATTAAACTCCATTCTGACCAGTTATTCCTGCACATAAAAAAAACCCTGGGACTGAAACCCAGAAGAGACATAAAGATAAGGGGTTAATGGTGGCCTTGGAAAACTTGGAGGGACCATAAAAAGAAAGAAATTAATGATGGCCCTAACCTCTGCTGAAGCAGACTCCTCCCTTACCTCTGAGACAGCTTGTATCAGCCCCGGACAACTTGATACAACTTGAAATCAGCTTGTATTTTCAAGTGAGATTTATTCCAGAAATGCAAAGTGGATACAATATCTGCAAATTGATACACATAACACACCTCATAAATAGAATGAAGGATAAAAACCACATGCTCATATCCATAGATGCAGAAAAGGCATTTTAAAAAAACCCACCACCCACTTATGATGAAAACTCTCAGCAAAGCAGGAACAAGGAGGAAACATACTACAACATAATAAAGGCTATATATGACAAACCCACAGCCAACATCATACTCAATGGAAACATTACAGGAATATCCTCTTTCACCACTCTTATTCAACATAGCACTAGAAGTCCTAGCTACAGCCATCAGACAAGAAAAAGAAAAGAAAGGTGTCTAATTTGGAAACAAAAAAGTAAAGCTGTCATTATTTGCAGATTATACTGTATATAGAGAACCCTAAGAATTCCACCAAAAAACTAGAACTGATATGTGAATTTGGTCGAGTAGCAGGATACAAAATAAATATCTATAAATTAGTTGCATTTTATACATCAATAATGAAATATCAGAAAGGGAAACTAAGAGAACAATCCCATTCACAATTGCTTCAAAAAGAACAAAGTATATAGGAATAAATTTAACCAAAGATGTAAAAGACCTGTACTTGGAAAATAGTAAGACACTAAAGATAGAAAGTGAAGAAGGCCCTGGCTGGTTTGGCTCAGCGGTTGGAGCACTGGCCTGCGGTCCAGAGAGACCCGGGTTCGGTTCCCGCTAAGGGCATGTACCTCGGATGCAGTTTGTCCCCGGCCTTGGTTGGGTCGTGTGGGTGGCAACCACTCGATTTGTCTCTTTCATGTCGATGCTTCTCCCTCTCTCCCTCCTACTCTATCTGAATAAAAAAATAAAAAAATAAAATAAAAAAGAAAGTGAAGAAGATACAATTAAGTGGAAGCATATACAGTGTTCATTGATAGAAAGAATTAACATCATTAAATGTCCATACTACCCAAAGCAATCTATAGATTCAGTTCAAATCTTATCAAGAGACCAATGGTGTATTTAATAGAACTAGAAAAAATATTCTAAAAATTTATGTGAAACCACAAAAGACCCTGAATAACCACAGCAATTTTGAGAAAATAAAACAAAGCTGGAGGAATAATGTTACCTGATATCAAATATATTGCAAGGACATGGTAATCAAAACAGCATGGTATTAGCATAAAAACAGACATATAAATCAATGGAACATAATAGAGAGCCCAGAAATTAACCCAGGACTTCATAGTCAATCAATATTTGACAAAGGAGGCAGAAACATACAATGTGGGTAAAGATAGAATGGTCAATAAATGGTGTTGGGTAATTTGGACAGATTTGTACAAAAAAAATGAAACTAGATCACCTTCTTTTTTTTTTTTTTAATCCTCATCCGAGGACATTTTTCCATTTTTTGTACAGACAGTGTGGGAGGGAGAGAGAGGAAGAGAGAGAGAGGGAAACATCGATGTGAAAGGGACACATCGAGTGGCTGCCACCCGCACGATCAACCAGGGCCGGGGACAAACTGCAACCGAGGTACATGCCCTTAGCGGGAACCGAACCTGGGTCTCTCCGGACTGCAGGCGGACGCTCTGACCGCTGAGCCAAACCAGCCAGGGCTAGATCACCTTCTTATACCATACACAAGAATAAACTCAAAATGAATTAAACATTAAAAGTTAGACTCAAAACCATAAAAATTCTAGAAGAAAACATAGGCAGTAAAATCTTGAACATTTCTTGTAGCAATATTTTTTTCTGATATATCTCCTTGGGCAAGGGAAACAAACAAACAAAATAAACAGATGGGAGTACATCAAACTAAAGAGTTTTTGCACAACAAAAGAAATAATCAACAAAATGAAAAGACAACCCACTGAATGGGAGAACATATTAGGAGTGATACAGCTGATAAGGGGTTAGTATCCAACATTTAAAAAGAACTTATAAACCTCAACACCAAAAATCTCCCAAACAATCCAATTAAAAAATGGGCAGAAGACCCAAATAGACACTTCTCCAAAGAGGACATACAGATGGCTAATAGATGTATGAAAAGATGCT